AGTCAGCCGGTCACCCTCTCCCCTGCTAGCACAATGTCAAGTAGTAGTACGTATGGTCATGCTTCATGGTCGTGGTTAGCTGCTAGGTGTCGGATCAGGCTATTTCGATTTTGAGGTATATCAAGGTATTTCTACCTTGAGATTGGCGTAACTCTACTGCGGTACTCTTCAGGTGCTCATGGCTACCAACAGACCTGACACACTCGACCCTGCCTTGATCCGGCCAGGCCGTCTTGACAGGAAGGTTGAGTTCAACCTACCAGACTTGGAGGTGAGTTAGTTAGCAGCCGACTAGTCGCCAGGTTATCGTGACGTGCCCTGTACTCCCACGTGCGCAGTCGTACCGGCTCACAATAAATATATGCTATAATAAAAATAGGAAACATGGGGATCATTCGCTGCTTTTCTTTACAGGCAAACAAAAAACAAAAAAATATATATTAAATAACAATATAAAATTTTGTGCAATCACATTTTTTTCAATTTTTCTTTGTAGTAAATTCGTAGGGACTTTCACTTTGTCACAGCAGCTCTGCTTCTTCTAAAAAAGTTAAAAAGCTCTAAATTTAAGCGTTGATGTTCTACTGATATTGACGTTTACATATGTGATCATGCTGTACAGTCCTTATGATACTAACGTGTGTTCAATGGGTGTATTTTTCAGGGTAGAACTCACATCTTCAAGATACACGCACGCCAGATGAACGTCGAGAAAGACATACGATTCGAGCTGTTGGCTCGACTCTGCCCAAACAGCACAGGTCAGCGAACCCATCGCCACTCCAGGGGCGTGTACAGGGGAGGGGTCCAGGGGGTCTGGACCCCCCCCCCCCCTGCTCGTGCAGAAAACGCATATAAGGGGGTCTAATTTCAAAAATTTTCTCGCGTGCTCGCAAGTTTGGGTTACGGTTAGACCCCCCCCTGGTACAAATCCTGTACACGCCCCTGCACTCATCAGTTATAATTTTCTTATGGGCCCTAAATATGAGCACCCATGATGCATAGATGGTGACGTCAGTAGCATAGAAGGCCGGAAAGACATTTGTTCGAGCCCTGCTGACAGTGAACCTATCGCCAGTCATCAGTTATGATTTTATGTCGTATTGGCACTAAATATGAGCACCCATGATTCACAGATTTTCGAGCGGGTGGGAGGGTGACTTCAGAAGCATAGAATACCGGAAAGACATTTGTTCGAGTCCTGCTGACAGACCAGGCTGAACATTTTCAGTTTCTTTTTAATGTAATTCGACTAGCAATGTAGATTTCTAATTGACATTTCTGATACATTCACTTCTCTGGTTGCCTACAGATGGCAGCAGGGTGTGTATTTTTCACAGCATACTATATTGCAATATCGATGCATTGCAGGAGCTGAGATTCGCAGCGTCTGCACAGAAGCAGGCATGTTTGCGATCAGAGCTCGTCGAAAAGTGGCCACTGAGAAGGACTTCCTTGAAGCCGTCAACAAGGTCATAAAGGCATACGCCAAGTTTAGCGCGACCCCTCGCTATATGACGTACAACTAGGTAGTGACTGTACTCCTGCGTGCAAATCAAACGGCATTGGAGAGTTATTTACTCGGCAAGGTGCAAGTTTTGTGAGCAGCTGGTAATATGTTTAGGCATAATTTGATAAGTCACTTTCCGGTATTACATCAGCATGGCATATATATATATAGGTTGTACTAAGTTAAACTAAGCAGATTTCAATGAGTTGTGTTTGCGAAAGACGTGAGTAAATTGTCTTATAAATTTTGCACGAGGTCATTCTGGATGTTGAGTTCAAGCAAGTTATGAACAATTTCCCCTTGAAACGTTATTGGACTGTATAAAATCGATTTTCCTTTTAAAACGTTTCTGTTTTCATATTCTCAATTGATGGTCATTTTACAAGCGACATCTTTAAATCATAGACACTGTGCAGGTGTAGTGAGCCTCACACTGTAGTAAAATCTACAAACATCGTGTGCTGCTTAAACTGTTGCATGTGAATGTGCTACATAAATAAACACAAGTGTGAAACATTTCATACATTCCGGATGTTGCTTTATATGAGTGTTGTTTCATGCCATTTCCAAATTTACAATACGCATGGTTCCCAAAATAGTTAATTATTTTTAAAGGACTTTCCAATGACATTTGTTTTTTAAGGACAATCTGTGACAGATAGTTTTAGCTTTATATCATCACATATACCTTAGATTCATATATAAAGTAAAAATGGTTGTTTTACACGAGTGCCGACAGCGGATTAAACAGCGCCTAGCTGACGTACACAATAGTCGTTTCACATTGTCATTCACGTAGATTCATGTTAATTGGTGCGTCGGGCTGAGAAGTTCGGCGTCTTTCGCGATGCGAGTGCATTTCTGAGTGATACAAACAATTGTGTGACACATAGTTCTGAGTGAGTACAGTGCTACCTCAGAAGGTTTAATATTTGATTTTGTTGATTTCAGGTTCACAGGACTGTG